CTTTGGCGGACTCCGGACTCCACTCCATGTCCACCGCCACTGGAGACGAGGCGCCTACACTAGTGTACTGACAGTACTGACAGGGGGGACCTAGCTTCAAATCGCTGATGATCTACATGTGACGTGTCTGCTAGTTTCGTTTATTGTACCTGTTTCATCTCCCATGCATTCCCATCCGTTCTCACCTGCACCTCCGTCGCCAACCGTTGCTTCTTCAGTGGCAACAATACGGATCTCCACCTCTCCATCCGTCCCAATGTGTCCAGGTGATCCGTCACCTGGGAATAGCAGGGCATACGACCACGACACCATGAAGGGTTCATCGTCATCCCCGCAGTCGCATGTGACGCGGTTGCCCGTGACGTCGCCTGAGTCGCCGTCACCGGAGCTGCCATCACCACCACCCCGCCACCACCCCGTTCACCCCATCCCCTTCACCTCCCCTGCCGTCACCACGGCCGCCATTTCCACCTCCGTCCTCTTCACTGCGGCAATCCCCGCCCCCCCATCTCCGTGGCGGCAATCACCCCCACTACCCTCTCTCTCCCCTGCATTCCCATCCGTTCTCACCTGCACAGCTGTGCCGCCGTTGCCCCTGACGTCGCCTGAGTCGCCGTCACCTGAGCCACCATCACCACCACCCCCTTCAACCCATCCCCTTCACCTCCCCTGCCGTCACCACTGCTGCCATTTCCGTCCTCTTACCTTATGGACTATGGTCTCACCTGTTAGATTGTCGGGGCTCCACTGCATTTCCGCCTGGCCCTTCGGCGGACTCCACTCCTTGTCCACCTCCACCGCAGACGGGGTGCCTGCACTGACAGGGGGGACCTCGTTTCAAATCGCTCATGTCCTACATGTGACGTGTGTGCTAGTTTCGTTTGTTGTACCTGTTTGGTCCGGTTTGTTAGCTTGCGGCTGTGCTCCCGCACCAACCACCGAAGGGCCCGCCGGAACGGGAGCTTGTTGCTGAGGACATTCATCTGCATAATATTGGACGTCGCAAGTTTTAACCATACATAGTAGCTGTCAATGTATTGCAGCAACTTCTCACTGCGTCCAGCGATCATCTCGTTAGGAGCCACGGCATCGAGGCCAAAAAGCTCTGTGCCATTATTACCACCATGAGGCTGGACGCACTGATGCGTGATGACGTGATTATATGCATGAGACTTGCTATGATACTTGCGTCCGCAGGACACACACGTAATTTCAAATTGCGACAACGCATATAGTCGACCGCGGCAGAGGTAACGTGGATATGTTTTAACTGAAGGGGCCATCTTTATTAGCTATTATTACATCTTCAACAGAAAGCAGGACTTGCGAACAGATGCTGTGTGCATTTGTATGTTCTGAAGGGCCCTACAGCCCTTCATTCTGGGACAAGCGCAGACTTAACGAAACCTTACGTTTGGAGTATTTGTACAGTCATAAGTAATTAAAACAATCCCTGGCATGGCGATATTACAAGGCTTTTGCATGCTAAGTGGCCATTTCAGCCGAACTCCGTCGATATGCTCTGAAGGCCCCTCAGCCCTTCGTTATGAAATGGGCACGAATGAGCACGAAACGACAACTAGATGAAGGGATTCCCGGGTATCGAAGGGAAGCTGGTTCCCAGAGTGGGCACTATACGGGTGCGGCAGTGCGGCCATCGCGCTATTCTTTGAGGAAGAACGGCTAGCGGCCGCCACACGGGGCGTGGGACCACAAGCCGTCCTACAGGCCAGCGCCGCAATCTCGGCACATTATACACTGGTGGGCCTGTCATCTGCCTGTGAGGCACCCCTCTGCCAGCTCGCGCGCCAGGTGGCCACACGCACACTCACAGCACACCGCCACGACCGTGGGGTTATTACTGAGGTGGATATCAGGCAACTGGTCGACTTCCATTTTCCCCTTAACGGCCCGGAACCTGACTTGCAGACCCGCATGCATGTCACGTGCGCACTGTTGTGCTGGTTTGCATTCCTGCGGTTCGATGACCTCGCCCGGGTACTAGTACATTACGACCTGCTACACATCACACCGGGCGTGGGTGCCGAGATCATCCTGTGGAAAAGCAAGACGGACCAACGTGGCGAAGGACAGACCGCGTCTGTCGGTTTTCGGGGCGACCACTACTGCCCCATGACGCGGCTGGAGGAACTGCTGACGAAAGGGCAATACGTCCGACTGCCGAAACAAGAGGCGGTCGAGGGGCGTTATGTTTCGGTTGAAGATGTAGGCCCACTCCTCCGCCGGGTCACAACCAGCCAGACGGGTGTGCCGAGCTTGGTGCAGCGCACGGCACCGCTCAGTGCACCCATCCCACCGCTGCCATACCGCACTTTCCTGGGCCACCTGAGGAGGCTCTTTGTGGAGGCCGGGCTCTCACCGCGTTTCGGAACTCACTCCTTGCGCTCCGGGGGGGTGACTGCTGCCGTTAACAATGGCGCAGACCGCAGCCTGGTGCAGAAACTGGGCCGCTGGAAGAGTGCGGACGTTTTCGAACAGCATTATGTGAAAGATAGCGACGCAGCTCGGGGCCGGGTGACGGCCCTCTCGATTAATACCGCCCAGTGATCGTTGCAACTGTGGGTCCTTTCAAGACCTGTCATTACTATCGGCCACTAGTGCAACTTTCACAATGGGTTGGTGTTGGGAGGGGGTTTCACAACGGGTTGTTTTGCTACTGAGTTGTGCTTGCGGTTGATGGCTTAGCTACTGTAACGCAACACGGCAGGACTGAGCAATAAGCTTCGACTTCTCGAAGCGAAGTATGAGTGTAGAGATAGGCAAGTTATTGCGAAGGAACTGCCGTGGTGCGTGGAAGTAGGGCGCAAGCATGCATGCATATGCCGGACCCAGTACGGCAGGGGATGCCGAGCTCCTAC